AGAAATGCAAAGCTGCACAAGCCCCCCCACCCTGCAGCATCTGAGCCTAAATCCTGTCTCCTGACTCAGGGCAGAAGCAGGGCTTCTCTCTCTCTCTCTCTCTCTCTCTCCCTCCCTCCCTCCCTCCCTCCCTTCCTCTCTCTTTCTTGGGAGTCTGAAACACTCTGGCTCTGCTCCCTCTCTAGGTGGATGGCATCAAGCAGGCACTGGGGCACTGGGCCAGGACCTGGGAGACCTCCCTGCCCCTTCCCCTTCTGCACACCCCACCCCCACACTGGCCAGTAGACTTCAGCACCGCCACCTGTGTCCTCACAATCTCCCTCCCCCCCCCAGGCCTTTAAAAACCTTTCTGCTGAAATCCATATCATGGGAAAATCGCCCATCTGCTTAAGATGTGCGTTCAGCCTGGAGGAGCACCCCAGGGCTTCCGCATGGTTCTCAAGGATGCCTGTGGGTCCCCAGTTCTGCTGAGAGGGCTAGAGGGAGGACACCGTCCTCTCCCTCCCCCTAATGTGAGCCTCGGGCTCCCCTCCACTTGGAACTGTGGTATTTGTTACACAACACCAGTGAAGCCGCCTCTCTCAAGACCACTTAGTCCTCAGGGTCAGGACAGGTCTAAATCCATGATACAAAGAAACTGTTTCCTGATTAACGATTATGTCTTCCCTTTCCATGGCGTCTGTAAATCGTTTGGTTGTGCTGGGTTCTGTTTGCTTTTTCTCCTGTTCCTCTGTGGGGCAGGCGAGCCCCTTGGTGACACCTCCCTTAAGGGCATCCAGGGCGTGCCAGAGTGGGCCCCTCTAAGCAGGACTTGGGAAGGCAGGAGGTGGACACTGGACCTGGAGTTGACACCCAGATCCTGCTCTGGGAATGCTAGCTGGGAGCACCAGGAAATGAGTTTCCTCGTGGACACCTCAACAGAGGCTGCAGATGGAATTTTCCATGTGACTCCTGGCAGGGGAGGGGAGCCTGGATGTGTCCCTGAAACCTATGCAGTGGGCGCTTCTCATCAGTTTGCTGCCGAGGGAGCATAGGCACGGGAGGGGGATAAGTTTTCCCCGAGGTTGTGGGAGGCGTCCGCGCAGCTTAGCCAGGCAGGCGTGGAGCTGGTGCCCTTCCAGGCCATCTCCTTTCATGTCTTCCACCTGCAGAGTTCTACCTGTAACGACTCTGAGGACCATGCTGCTAGGAGAAGCACATGTGTGACTGCTTGAGTCACAAGCTGAACTGGCCGCGTGCCTGGGGAGGGCATGGGCTGCTCTTTTTGCTTGCAAGAATGAGTATTTTTGACTATTCATTGGGCATGTAGCAGGTATTTTCGTGCACATGAATAAGGGAGTCTGTCACTCCAAAGAATATAGCTGCCATCCACCACTGGTTGCCAATGATAAGATTTGAACTTTCATGCAAAACTGGAATTTTAGAAAGTTTGTGTCTTCTACCTTCCCAGTACTTTTTCGAAGATTTATTTGAAAGGTGGAGTGATCGGGGGTGGGGAGTGGGGGAGGAGACAGAGGCAGAGAGATGTCTTCTGCTCAGTGGTTCACTGTCCAAATGGTGGCAACAGCTAGGGCTGGTCCAGTCGGGAGCCTGGAACTCCATCAGGGTTTCCCAGGTAGGAGGCAGGCATCCGAGCAGTGGGGCCATCTTCCACTGCTTTCCCAGGCATGTGAGCAGGGAGCTTGATCCGAAGTGCAGTAGCTGGGACTCGAACTGGTGCTCCAGGGTGGGATGCCTGAGTCACAGGTGGTGGCTTAACCCACTCACCACAACACCAGCTTCTAGCTTCCCAGCAATTAAAGATATTTTGTGATAAGATTAATGGTGAGATTAGTGAAGCTGAGTTTTTGGTATTGTAAAATAAATGTGTGAACTCTTGGGAGATCCTCATAACTCACTGCACAAAAATGATCCAAATGCCCAATTGTAGGTGACGCAGAATCACACGTGGATGAAAATCTGTCCAAAGTACAAGTAGGACAGTGATGGGTTTTAATGTCACAGGCCACGGCGTATTTATGGGCTTAGTTTCAGATTTTACATTGCGATTTACCTCTAAGGAAGATGAGGACTACTACCTGTTGAATTTAGACATAGTGCCACAGATCTTTGCAATGATTTGAAAGTGCATTAAAATACGCCTCCACTTCCAGCTCTAGATCTGGCTGGGTTTTCCTCAGAGACAACCAGAGTGAGACATCGCAGTGGACTGAACGCAGAGGTAGACATCAGAACCCAGCCAGGCAGTAGAGAGTGTCACAAAAATGCAAGGCAGTGCCTCCTCTTATTTCCCTTTGTTTTGGAAACTCTAGTTACTTTTTATAGAAATATATCATTCATGTTAACATATGTCAGGCTTATTATTTAAACTAATGACTAAATACTTTAAAATGCCTCCATTTTCATTTTGCATGCGGTCAAGATCAAAAGACACAGCCTCCCCAATACAGGCTCCTGGGGGTGCCTTTTGAGACTGCAGCCCTGTGACTGAGAAGTTTGAGAACTGTGGCCCTGAGTGTCCACGGGGTCAGTGTCATCCCCAAAGCCACGGTCTCTGTATCAGTGGTTTGTAACCACAAGAGGGAGGGGCATGGGAGCGAGTTCCCCTGCTCCCAGGAGGGTCTTGGGTAAGGGCAGGGGTTTGGCACTGTGGTTAGCCCGCTGCCTGGGACACCCACGCCCCATGTTGGAATGCCTGCGTTTCAGTCCTACTCCTGCTTCCAATCCTGCTTCCTGCTCATATGCACCCTGGGAAGCAGCAGGTGATGGCTCAAGTACTTGGGTCCCTGCCACCCATGTGGGAGACCTGGACTGAGTTCAGAGCACCTGCCTTTGGCCTGGCCCAGCCTTGGCTGTTGCAGGCATTTGAGGAGTGAAGTAGCAGGTAGAAGATCTCTCTTTGGCCCTGCCTTAACATGTCTGGGGAGACTGGAGTAGGCTGAACACCTGTTTTCAAGTGGCTGCCACGGAATCTACCGAGTCCTCTCTGTCTCGCTCCCTCAAACGTTCCTTTCCCAGGATTTTCCTCTGTGCTCTCTCTGCTGTTTCTCTCCTCCAAATGCATCCACACCCCTTGCCTGCCCCCTTGACCTGCCCCTCCCACCCTCCCACAGGAGTTTGTACCTCTCAGAGCCTCTTCAAGGCCTTGGGCAGAGAGGGGGTTTTGTTTTGTTTTTAAAAATTTATTTATTTTTAACGGGCCATCAAAGAAGGAAGTACCTTTCTCTGAAGGGAGGAGAGAACTTCCACTTTGATTATGGCCTTGTCTAAATAATGTCGGATTTTGTGGACTTCCATAGCCTTGGCAGTTCATGACAAGAGCCTCGGGTGATTACTGACGTCATAAATAAGAGTGTCAGTTGTTAAATCAACAATGGGAGTCACTGTGCACTTACTCCCCAAGTAGGATCTCTGTCCTTAATGTGTTGTACTATGAGAATTAGTGGTAAAACTAGTATTCAAACATTTCTTTATACTTTTGTGTCTGTGTGGGTGCAAACTGTTGAAATCTTTACTTAGTATATACTAAGTTGATCTTCTGTATATAAAGATAATTAAAAATGAATCTTAATGAAGAATGGGATGGGAAAGGGAGTAGGAGATGGGATGGTTTGTGGGTGGGAGGGTGGTTATGGGGGGAAAAACCGCTATAATCCAAAAGTTGTACTTTCAAAATTTATATTTATTAAAAAAAAGTTTAAAAAATTCTATTAACCAAAAATATTTATTCATTTTATTTGAAAGCAGAGTTAGAGAGAGGGGAGGAGACAGAGAGAAAGAGAGAAGAGAGAGAGAGAGAGAGAGAGAGATATCTTCCATCCACTGATTTACTCCCCAAATGGCCTCAATGGCTAGAGCTTGGCCAGGCTGCAGCTAGGAGCCTGGAACTCCCTCTGGGTGTCCTCACGTGGGTGCAGGGCCCCAAGCACTTGGGCCATCCCCTGCTGCTTTCCCAGGTGCATTAGCAGGGAGCTGGATCAGAAGTGGAGCAGCTGAGATTCTGGCTATGGCCTACAGCTGAGATTCTGGCGATGGCCTAACCCGCTGTGTGACAACACCAGCCCCAGGGTGGGGCAGGGTTTGTTTGAGTGCAAGTGCAATTCACAGGGAGCTCACTGTTCTAACTAGCAGTGTACAGTGTAGGTGGCTTCAGGTGGCAGTGCTGTGTGCCCATCACCACTCTAGTTCTGGGGCATTGTCATCTCCCCAGACAGAACCCTTCACCCACTCCTTACTCACTCCCATCCCTGTGCTTCCCTGTGGTCCTCCAACCCCAGGAAACCACTGTTCTGCTTTCTGTCACCAGGGGCCACACTCTGGGCATTTTGTACAAGTGGAACCAGACAATTTATGGAGATGGTTGTTTCCTTTTTACATTTCTTTTGAGAGAGAGAGAAAGAGAGAGAGAGAGAGAGAGAGAGAGAGAGAGAGATCTTCTATCCACTGGTTTATTCTGCAAATGCCCACAATCGCTGGGGCCAGGCACAAGCCAGGGCCCTGGAACCCAATCTGCATCTCCTGCGTGGGTGACAGGAACCCAGCTACTTGAGCTGGTGAATATTTTTTAAAAAATAAAAGAAGTATTTTCTCAGAAGACTTCATTTTTAGAATCAGAACACTTAGCATAAAAACCCTTTTTCTAGAAGGTCAAAAATGGCAATAGCAAGCTCATTAAGAAGATGCAAACGACGGGTTTCCTTTTCAATGAATGCTTCTGATGAAGCTGCTGTTCTGTGGTCCTGGGCTGAGGGAGGGAGGGAGGGAGGTAGAGGGAGAGGGAGAGAGGGAGAGGGAGAAGGAGGAGGGAGAGAGAGGGGGAGGGAGATGCAGGTGAGGGAGAGGAAGGGAGGAGCCGTGTGCTGGGCACTGGGCCTTAGTCGTAGACTGATGGGATTCTCAGGCAAACCCGCTGAGCAAAAGTACAGATCTCAGATGGAAGCTGCCCGATGGGAGGTACTGGGTGGGCCGCGTGTCCTCACTTCCCTGTGTCTCTCTCCTAGGGGTGAAGAAGAGAACCAAGGTCATCAAGAACAGCGTGAACCCTGTGTGGAATGAGGTATGAGAGCCACCCTGCCCCCTGCAGGACAGGCTGGGGGCTCTCAGAGCAGTTGGCTTTCTCAGTGCCCAGTGCCCACGGAATCCCCCTGCACTGGGGCCTGGGCCACAGGGACAATGGGGACATGTCCTGTGTGTGGGTGTGACCGGGAGTGGAGTGGGGAACCTTTGATGTTTCCCTTGGCTCTGGCCGGCCAGGCAGAGGGTGTTTGGGCTCTCTTGTCCCTTTCCCTCACACAGCCTCTTCTCCCTGTCCAAAGTCCACCTCCTCCTGAAGTCCTCCCTGGCTGCCAAGGGTTCTCTGTACCCTTCATCAGCTTGCACACGTGGCTCCTGTGGGGTCCTTCGGAAGCCCTGGCTGCCTCACGTGGGGTTGGGGGATGCACAGGAGCCTCGCTCTGACGAGCGACGTGGGGCCTCGGGCTGGGCCTAACCCGTGCTGCCCGCCAGAGCCTTGACTTCAGGAAGAACGCGGTGACTTGGTCCCTGAGGACCCTGAAGACTCACCTGGCCTGGCTTCTTGGGGATGGATTAGAATTGACTTGAGAGAGGGGGCAGTGAAAATTTTGCCTTCTTCTGTCTTCCTCTGCTGTCATCTCTCATCATCTCCCCTAAAGCTCTGGAACTCCAATCCATCCTCCCTCCATCCCCTCCTCCCTCCCTGCCCCCCTCCCTCTCTTCTGCCTTTCCATCCTATCCCATCCATCCCTCCCTTCCTCCTTCCCTTCTCTCTATCCCTCTCTCCCTCCCTCCCTTCCATCCATCCATTTATCCATCCATCCATCCAACAGACTCTTTAAAAAAAAGAGATTTATTTATTTATTTGAGGGGTAGAGTTACAGACATTGAGAGGAAGAGACAGAGAGAGAGAGAGAGAGAGAGAGAGTCTTCTATCCACTGGATCACTTCCCAGATGGCTGCAACAGCCAGAGCTGTGCCAATCTGAAGCCAGGAGCTTCTTCCGGGTCTCCTATGCAGGTGCAGGGACCCAAGTACTTGGGCCATCTTCTGCTGCTTTCCCAGGCCATAGCAGAGAGCTGGATTGGAAGAGGAGCAGCCAGGACTCGAGCTGGTGTCCATATGGGATGCCCGCACCACAGGTGGAGGATTAACCTATTGCGCCACAGTGTCGCCCCCCCCCCCCATTAGACTCTTTCATGGACAGTGGTGAATGATTAGTATTCACTAATCTCTCTCATGCACCCAGGGTTTGCTCTGAGGCCCAGAGGCGTGAGGGTGGTCCAAGCACGGTCTCTTCTCCTTGAGGGCCACAGGTTAAGATGCTTTTTCTGTTTTCTTTTGAGGGCTTCGAGTGGGACCTCAAGGGCACTCCCCTGGACCAGACCTCTGAGCTTCATGTGGTGGTCAAAGACCATGAGAAGATGGGGAGGAACAGGTGAGGGGGGCCAGAGGGCGACTCCATGGCTCGAAGGTGCAGGTAGGGTTGTGGTGGGTGTGGGTTCCAGAATCTGGGCCTGGCCCAGGCGGTGCTGAGGGAAAGCCTGGCTGTGGCCTCAGGACCTTGGCCATGGGTAAAGCTGAACGCTGCCTGTGCTGCAGGAAGAGGGGATGGGCTGCTGTTGCGCTCACGGGGAATCTGGGGCTCCAGGGGACTGAGCAGCTTCCTCAAGTAAGCAATGGCACAGCTGTGATTGGAGGGCAGGTCCCGGTGTCCTGCTTGATGTCCCCGAGCCCCCTGGGAGTCCCAGGGGTACTGAGTCCTGCAGAGTTCAGCTCTCCTTCTGCTGCGGCCTTTGAGAGAACTGAAGGAGCAGAGCGGCTGGGTCTGGCCACTGCGGGGCACCTGGAAGAGGACACGCATGTTCACTTCCTGGACCGCACTCAGCAGTGGTGCAGCCCCATGCACAGATCGCTGAGACCCTGTAGGCAGCGTGAGAGCAGAGGCTGGGGCACATTAATCATTCACAGCCCACCGGCCTCAGGGGGATGCTAGGGCAGGGCCGCCCACGGGCTGGAGGCTGGTGTGTGTGTGTGTGCGCGTTGAACTTTGGGGCCCTCCTGTTGGCCTCTGAGGGTGCCCTGCAGCTCCTGCAGGCAGCCAGCTACCTGAGAACCAGTTCCCAGCATGACTAGTTCGTTGCACAGCCAGTGGGCTACATGTCAGTTCTTCAAATGTCAATTTGCAGAAAAGCTAATTCACGGATCTTTCCAATTTACCAGAAATTTCTGTTTTATAACTACCTCAGAGTAATGTTTTCAAAAAGGTATGCATTTCGGGTTTTTAAAAAATTATTTATTTGAAAGGCGGGGAGGGGAGAGAAAGAATCTCATCCATTGGCTTACTCTCAAATACCTGAAGTAGCCAGGGCTGGGTCAGGCTGAAGCCAGGAGCCTAGGACTCAATCCTGGCCCCTCATGTGGGTGACAGGAAGCCAAGTTCTTGCGCCTTTGCCTGCTGCCTCCCAAAGTGCACATTAGCGGGAAGCTGGAGTCAGCAGTGGAGCTGGGACTCAAACGCAGGCACTCCTATATGGACTGGATGTGTTCCCAGCAGTGTCTTAGCTGCTGTGCCGGATGCCTGCTCCTCAGTGTAATTTCTTTTTATTTTCTCAAACACTTTTGCAGTTTTGCATTTCTACTGATTAAAAATTAAATTGTGGGGGCTGGCTCACTGGTGCAATGGGTTAATCCACCGCCTGTGGTGCCAGCATCCCATATGGGCACTGGCCTAGTCCCGGCTACTCCTCTTCCCATCCAGCTCTCTGCTATGGCCTGCAGTAGAAAGCAATAGAAGATGGCCCAAGTCCTTGGGCCCCTGCACCCACAAGACCCGAAGGAAGCCCCTGACTCCTTCCTGGCTTCAGATCGGCCCAGCTCTGGCCACTGGGGCCATTTGGGGAGTGAATCAGTGGAAGGAAGACCGCTCTCTCTGTCTCTCCCTCTGTCTCTGTTTTGTAACTCTGCCTCTCAAGTAAATAAATAAATCTTTAAAATAAAATAAAAAATTAGATTGTGATTAAACTGAATTGAAATTTAAACTTAGATCTGTACCTGAAGAATATGAGAGGCAGGCCAGTGCTGCGGCTCACTAGGCTAATCCTCCACCTTGCGGCGCCAGCACACCGGGTTCTAGTCCTGGTCAGGGTGCCGGATTCTGTCCCGGTTGCCCCTCTTCCAGGCCAGCTCTCTGCTGTGGCCCGGGAGTGCAGTGGAGGATGGCCCATGTGCTTGGGCCCTGCACCCCATGGGAGACCAGGAGAAGCACCTGGGTCCTGGCTTTGGATCAGCGCGGTGCGCCGGCCGCAGCGCACCAGCCGTGGCGGCCATTGGAGGGTGAACCAACGGCAAAAAGGAAGACCTTTCTCTCTGTCTTTCTCTCTCACTATCCACTCTGCCTGTCAAAAAAAAAAATATTCCTCATAAAAAAAAAAAAGGAATATGAGAGGCAGTCAAAGCAGCGGCCAGCAGGTGAGGAAGTGACAGGACCATGGTGTGGCTGCAGCCTGGACAGCAGCCTGTTGGGAGATGCAGAGGTGGGGCAGGGGCCCTGCAAGGCAATTCTGTAAGGGCCCCACCCCAGAACTCCCACTGCTTCCTCTCTATGCACGAAAAGGGAGAAAAAGCGCCAGAGACTAGAAACATTAAAACCCTAAAACCGTGAACATTGGAATCATACCCGGGGTGACAAGAGTGACTACGTGACATGTTAAATTTTGAAAGAAAAGGAAAAGCATTAAATGAATTCAGTTCCGTGGCAGTTTTAAATGGAATCTCTGACAATGCTGTCAACCTAACCAATGAAACAAACAGCAGAGAGAGAGAGGAGAGACTTTTCTATCAGCTGATTCACTCTCCAAATGGTTACAACTGTTGAAGCCAGGAGCCAGGAGCTTCTTCTAGGTCTCCCACATGGGTGCATGAGCCCAAGCCCTTGGATCATCTTCTGCTGTTTTCTCAGATGCATTAGCAGGGAGCTGGATCAGAAGTGGAGCAGCTGGGATTCAAACCAGTGATCTAATATGGGATGCCGGCACTGCAGGCGGGATGTTAACCAGCTGTGCTGTAACAATGGCCCACCCCTCGCCCCCTTGCTTTAATCAAGCAGTATAAGGACACCTGGGATATCCCTAGCCTCACTAGGAGGCACATGGTTACTTTTAAGAGAGCTTCTCTCTAGGTATTGGCAGTAGCCTTTGCTTTGACATAGTGGGATCCACTCACTCCCTTTTAGCAACCTGTTGACTTTATCCAGTGGGGCAAGAAGGGGCCTCTCACCTACACACAGACACTTGCCTGCCTTCATCTTTCGCATGGTCTCAGGGTCAGTCGTGGCACCTGCACCTGGCGGGGGGCCCAGGCAGCAGCTCAGGAGCTCCCTGAGCGCCAACACACCTTCTCCTCCTTCCTTCAGTGGCTCCCGCTCCCATCCCGCACTGAGTGATGGGCTGGTCCAGTGTTATGAGTGTGGACCTCGAGAAGAGCTGGGTGTAGGCACAACAGCCGTGTAGCTGTGGGCGGGTCCCCAGCATCCCCAGCCTCTGTTTCTTCCATTCTTAGGGAGTGTTAAGTCAAGTGCAAAAGCACATGGAAGGAACTTGCCACAGCACGTGCTCATGCGAGTTCTGCCTGCCCTGTCCCTTTCCCTTGTCCCCCTGTGCTGCCCAGGCACTTCCAGTCCTGCTGACCCTCTCACCAGCTAAGGCTTGAAAAGGGGTGAGACCTCAGTTACTACGGGCAGCCTGTGGCTTAGTGGATGCTGCTGGATGGCCCAGACTCTGCTGAGAAGACAAGGGCAGCCACACAGGCTGCCGGGGACACCGTGGGGAAGGGAGCCTCTGACTTAGGGGCTGCCTCCTGGATAGGCTTTGGTGCCTCAGGGTGGAAGTGAGGGTGGCCTGGTGCCTGCCATGGTGGTGAGCCTCATCTGTTGAGGGCAGGTGGCGCTTTCCTGGGAGGAGGAGCCTGCCTCCAGTCCTGCAGGGCAGCAGCGCTACCTGGAGGGGTGCTGTGGGGGGCGTGGGGAGCTGGCTGGTTGGTGCCCATCACCTACACCTAGAGTGTGCTGATGCGACTTGGGGGGTTCTGTCCTGGGAGGGGCAGGTGCTCTAAGTCCCCCCGAGGCGTCTACCAGTGCTGGGCTGGGGCTGGACAGTGGCATGCGATTGAGGGTCCTATCCTGCCACTGCCTGTGACCTGGGTCTCTCTGAACCTATTTCCTAATCAGGGCTTCACCTGCTGTGCCACAACGCTGGTCCCTTATGCTGTGCTGGCTTCCGGATGCAGCCTTAGGAACGGGGTTACTGGGTGTAAGCCTATAAACTCTTGGTTGGTTCTGCCAAGTTGCTTTTTAAAAATGTCCTGGTTTAAGCTACCCATCAGTGTCAAAAACAACAGAAGGGTTTCCTGCACTTTGTGTTTCCCTGAGGTGGGCATCTTTCCTCACGCTTGTGGCCCATGTGTGCTCTCTCTGCTAACAACTCATCCTTATGTTTGAGTTGTTCATCTTTTTCTTGTCAGTTAGAGGAATCTGAGCATATTTGGGACTTTATGAGGAATATTTTTTTTTTTTTTGACAGGCAGAGTGGACAGTGAGAGAGAGAGACAGAGAGAAAGGTCTTCCTTTGCTGTTGGTTCACCCTCCAATGGCCGCCACAGCTGGCGCGCTGCGGCCGGTGCACCGCGCTGATCCGATGGCAGGAGCCAGGTACTTATCCTGGTCTCCCATGGGGTGCAGGGCCCAAGCACTTGGGCCATCCTCCACTGCACTCCCGGGCCACAGCAGAGAGCTGGCCTGGAAGAGGGGCAACCGGCACAGAATCCGGCGCCCCGACCGGGACTAGAACCCGGTGTGCTGGCGCCGCAAGGTGGAGGATTAGACTAGTGAGCTGCGGCGTTGGCCTATGAGGAATATTAACCCTTGGTCTGCTTTATATCCGGGGAATATTTTTCTTCCTATCACCTGTCAGTTGCTGTGTCCCAGTGCACCCTCCCAGGGGCATGAGCACCCAGTGTGTGAATGGGCACACAGTCACAAAGGCAGAGCCATGATTTGCCATTGTTAAAGTTGGTCAAGTAGGCATGGCTGAGTTGCCGCCCCCTTTCTGGAGCCCTAGCAGACTGTTGTGGATGAGAATATTTTCAGTTCTCCATCCCATTGTTCTCAGCAGGCTCAAAAGCATCAGCCATATCCTTATTTTCAAGGATTTTTTTTAATAACTATATTTTGCCCTGGATTCTATCCAGGACATCCCTGGATTTCAGAGGGATTTTTCTTTTGTCTTCCTCAGGACTGAAGTGGAAAACTATTTCGAGTCCCCCTGGGCAGCCCCCTGGGGAATGAGATCCTGGCAGGAAGGCTGCCAGAGGCCGGAGGGCTCAGGGGATGGAATGTGCTGGTGTCCCTCACTTCCTGGCCCTCAGTGCCAGGCACGCACA